CAACAGATTTGAAATAGTGTATTTGAACTCTGTTCAAGTGACAATGTTAGTAATTCTTTGCACAAAATACATTTTAAATACCCTATTTTAATCATATTTATTAAACAAAATACATTGTAAATTGATAAGAGAGCTTCTCCTTTTTATGAAAATAATACAATTTAACTACACTTAAGATCTATTTCAAACATTGGCGAAATTTTAAACTACATTTTAGATACTTTAGAATCAGTTTTAAAATACATTGGTTTTGTAAGGGTGTTTTTCCTTTCCCTTTTCCCCAGAAAGGTAAAGGGGAGACACCAGTCAGACTCCTTCTCCTCATTTGCTTCAAAATTTCCTCTCAACTAACACCTAAGGAAAGCGGGATACTCAGATTACAAACCAAGGAAATTTTAGTGCTTGCGCACCTCTTCACCCCTCCTCCGAAGACGCCTGTATTGAAGGCTAAAAACTTACGAACAATTAACGAATTCGAAGGAAAATGAAATTCTTAGCACACATAAAATTATATTGAACAGCATCTTTTAAAACTACGTGTATGTATGGGAACGGAACGGAAGACTTTTAGATACAACGCCACAACTATCTTTTACTGAAACCGATATTCAAGAAAGTCTTTCCTTGATAAAGCAGTTGACGTTTGAGTTCTCTATCCGGAACCAAATAAAAAAACCTCCCAGTTATTGATTCAACGGTGCACTTTGTTAGAATGTTTGATTCTTTGATGAAAGGCCTCAACTCAAATACAAGGACCCATAAGTCATTCAGTTTTCGAAACTCTCACAACTCAGCGCGGAAGCAGTCGGTTTATTTGCCTAATGAGTAGATATTTTCTTCTCTCTGTTGGCTCAAAAATTGAAGCATTCTTCGATGAGCGTAAAGCTCGAACTCGACGTGTACCAGTGCCACCAAACAAAGAGCAAAAGAAAAAACGATTGATGAAAACACCGGAGTGTTGGAGACGGGACGCTTGTATGATGGTTGCATTATCGGATAACACAGATATAAAGCGGTCACGCTCTGGCCCTAGACACAGTCGCAATGCCCCTTCCCCAAGACTGCCCGCGTGATAGAAGTTCGACTGTACATATTTGAGTTGTTTTCGCACATGTTAGAAATAACTTCGTGAAAATTTAACGTTATATATCCTGGGTCATGCAAAAAAAAAATAAAAAATAAAAAAAACACATTCACCCATTTTTTTACCTTCACCCGCGTCACTGCTATGTAAGGACGAAACCGGTTCACGGTGAACAGTTTTTACGTGGCCCAAAATAATCCATTCTCTGGTGAAACAAGACCTGAAGCATCTGTCGATGAGCGTGAAGTTCGACCTCGACGTGAACCAGTGTCACAAAGCAGACAACAAGGGAGAGAAATATTGAAAAGAACGCTAAAGTGTTGGAGACGGGGTGCGTCTTTGATGACTCTATCAATCAGCTTTAGTGTCTTAAACGAAATTTTAACGTAACTTGCTCGTACAATTTTCATTCTTTCCGTACAGTGACTTTGTTTTTTAGACGTGTCATGTAAACCTGACCATGTCTCTGACTTCAGTTTTGGCTATTTTCCAGACCGCTTAAGGGAGGATTAAGCTTTTTCTCAAATGTATCCATTCACTAAATTCCAAATCAGGGCGGCGTGGTCTGTTACGCAACCGCATATCACGGGGTTTCAGTCATAAAGTTTAAATTTCATGGCAATGGTCTCCTAAAATTAGTCCTTGGGAGTTAGAGAGAAGAAAGCGCCGGAAAACTCAGGGCACTGAGGTACAAAAGGAAGGTAAAAGAGTTAGCAAAAATGAAGAAAACAAGTCAGAGTCAAGCTGATGGCAATAGCTCATCTTCAGACCTCTTGTCTTACATATCACCATTGTTAGTACGGGAATCAAGTTATTGATGTTTTGACAAAAAGCTACAATACAAAGTAACACAGCTCTAAGTTTGCGAAAAGCTGCCAATAACTGCAATAAAGTATTTACCTACATTACCAGTGTTGCTAAGCAACAGTTAAAAGCAATCGGTTTATATGACGGCCACAGTGCGAGTTAATGTTAGGTATTTTTTTCTCTCTGTTACGTTGAGTCTGTGAATTCGATGGGCGTGAAGCTCAATCTAGAGGTAAATCAAAATCACGTGGGGCTCTCAACGAAGTTATTTACAGGGAAGTTCCTCCCCAGGGTCCGATCTCTTCATCTTTAATTTTATATGCCATTCTTAACGCTGACAGAAATAAGGACCCCTTTTTATACCAAGCAAGAACACTGCACATCCCTAACTATTGTAAATGCAAGTTGTCCTTTTGACAGGCCAAGATGCGTCCGTTAGCCCGTTTATGTCCTTTTACAGACCGAAATGACGGTTTTTCTCTCTTCATTCGTAAACTTCAACATCCCTAACCTTTTATATACCTGGACCCAGTTGTTCAAAAGTTGGATAACGCTATCCACGTTGAATAAATCACTATCCACTGGATAGCGTGATTGGTTTCCCTAAAACTTATCCGTTGGATAGTGATTTATCCGGTGGAAAGCGCTATGAACAAACTTTTGAACAACTGCTATTGTTCAAAAGGATGTTATCTGAGCCTATTTTCGCATTCTGATTTACACCTGCCTCGACTGTCCTCCAGGTTGCTGAGGGGACCTTTTTCTTTTTTGTTAACCTGCTTAATTAAACTTAAAACCATATTGATTACGATTATGTTACTTAAATAAGATGTGTCACAAATACACCGAGCTTCATCTTTTTATATGTTAACAACACCCGGAAGCCGTCTTCTACCGGGAAGGGTGAGACCACACTGGGTACTAAAGCAAAAGTAATTATCATTATACCGTAAACTCCGCTAAAATATAGCCAATCAGAATGCCGAAGACGTGGAGCTATCACCTGCATTCAGCACTCTAGACAGGTCACTTGATGTAAATTTGTAAGATTTGGATAACAATATTGTATATCTTCTGATATAAAGGGCCCCTAAAGAAACTTAGCAGTTCGTATTAAATCCGTTTGAATTACAGCAGGGGATAAAACCCTTGTATATGTACCAGTCTGCACCTTTTGTTCATATATTTATTTATTTGTTTCTTCATTTCACTTTATTTTCACGTTACGTCAAACGTATACCAGAAAACTATTGCAGTAAAAGTATTGTTCTAATAAGGCATTAATCTGCTGTTTTTTAAAAAATGAAATAATAAAATCCAAGCTCTTGCCGATAAACGGCAACAGCAGGGATATCCTTGACGATGCCGTTGTTTTCGTATATACACACGGAATGATCTCAACAAATCAGAGAGGAACCATTAAAAAGGGCGATTTGATTGACGGACCAAATCACGCGAAAGTTTAAAAATAGTTCTTCACAGAATTTTCAAACATGGCAATTCACAAGTTTACTTCGCAAACAACAGCGTACGTAATGGCTTAAATGGAACTGCTAAGAGTTTGAATTGTTTCCTTACCTGAGAAGAAAAGTAGAGCTTTGTTGTTTTATGTTGACTAGCCAAGTTATAGCACAAAAGGTTTGTTGTGTCGTTCTTCGCAAGAAGTGCTGACAAAAATGGCTGCTCGGTTCCTCGAGGTATGAAGTCGTCTTCCTGTAGCATTCTTTCTCCTATTTACTTGAAACGTAGAATTTCTGCAAACATTAATTTCTTTCAAATTTGTTTGTCATAAATAAACTTCGATTTTTGGGCCAAATGTTTCTTGTTAGGACACACTGAGTTCACGAAACGGCCTCTTCTACGCGAATAAATGGGAGTTGTAAACAATCCATTGAGCAGAAAACATGCACATTTACAGTAAATGGAAAAATGCCGTTTTGAATCCTTCGAAGTCTTTTCTTGTCTTAAAAAAATAGTCAACCCTCAGATTTTGTCGACTCTTAAAAGATCGTTCTCTAAAAACCTGGGAAACACAGAGCTCACACATTATCCACTCGCTAGGAGGTGAATATTTTTTAATAGTCCGGGAAATGGAGGGGAGGGTGGGGACGTTTTCAACTATTTCATCAGCGGCACGTTTTCTTCCTGGTATTTCAAAATTACAATAATATGAGACAGCTGACATTTCCCATTTTAAAGTTTTTTTATTCAGACACTGCTGCCTGGAAAATGGCTGTCAATTTTAAACTTGTTCTTGAATCTCCGACCAACTCGACGTATTCCAGTCACAGTGGGTAGTTTTCCATTCGGACGTCAGTGATCTGCGCTCTATCACTAAAGAGAAGCACGAAAAAAAGGAACTGTTTGTCGGTTTTCACGACAGTTTTCTTTGCCTTGTTAAACTGCAAGAATTAACTTTTAAATACCACAAAAATTAAAGTGTTTTAAAATGTTTAAAGAAATCTCATGCCTGGCCATAACACTTGAGTTTCCCTAGAGTATGATAACCCTCCTCGTCTGAGCCATCAAAATCCGCCAGTCTGATCTGTGACACAGGTAATGCAGATTTGTCCGTCAGCAGACCGCTGTCTTCTTTCCAGCCCCTGTTACGATCGTGACAATTACACTTTCTTCCTTTTGAGCAGGAGTTTGTAACTCCGCATGCGCACATGTTGGCTGATCCACCTGCTCCTCCCCAGTAGTTCATTTTCCTTCCATCACGTGACACCCACCAGGCAATCGACTCCTGTACAAAGCCTACATCACTGCTGCACTCAAACTTTATAAACTGTTCACAGTTTTGTGACACTCGGGTGAGTGCTGCTAGCTGAGCGGTGCTCACTCCATTGTAAGTCACATCTTTACTGTAACAACCAGGGTTACTCCACCCGCATCCAGGGATATTACCGACATATGTTCTACTCTCGCTGTCGTGACTTATGACTGTCACGCCAATTCCTGCCTTGTCAGTCATGTCACAATACACACTGAACGGAGCCACGCCTCCTTTGCCATCAGGGTCAATAACATAATAACCTGAAGAACTTCCACTGCGGCCTGATTTAATGCTGCTACAAGACGTGTTCTTTGACACTTCAACAAAAGACGATGCCTTAATTGTTCGTTGATAATTTTTAGCTACACATGTGTAAGTACCAGCATCATTTGTGGTCACCTGAGTTAGAAATAAAGTTCCGTTTGGGAAGATAACGTGATTCTGAGGAAGATTTTGGTTTTTTCTCTTCCAAGAAATTTCTATGGATCCCTGGGCTTGGCAATTGAGCATCAAGTTACCTAACTGAGGGACTACAAACTTTATTGGAGGCGTCAGGGTAAATGCGAGCCTGTCAATCACAGCTACTAGTGCGACAGCAGAGTCTTCTCCAAGGAGATTTTTTGCTGAGCATGCGTATGTCCCACCATCTGCCTTCGTTACACTTACAATGTTCATGTTCCCATCGATCACTGTAGTCTTTTCTTTTGGCACGATAACTAATGCTTTTCGCCACGTAACCGTTGGCATCGGCACTCCAGTAGCTTTGCATACAAGGGTTACGTTTTCTCCTTCTTCAACGATGACAGAAGAGGGCTTTTGTGTGATCAAGGTAGCAACTGCAATTAAGAAACACGAAAGAGAATATCACCCGATCATTTTGAGGCACCCATGAGGAGTTTTCTTTGAGTTAACCTTGCAATAGAGTAATTTCATACTAGTGAACAAAAAATTTAGGTCATTGAATGTAACAAGCGTAGGGCCGTCGCCCCTGTGAAGTCTAAGGCTACAGTTTTGTTTTAATGCTGGTTTTCGATAGCGACGGAGTTGAATGTCATACTCGTAATCAGAATCTCACAGCGTCATGATTTTCGACAAAGATTCCGCTTAAGATAGCCGCGATCTTTTCTGGACATCCCCTGGGGCCTAGTAGCATGGGGTGCAAGTAAATATTCTAGCAAGTGCATATCCAAGAGATGGACCCGAACTTCTTTCGAAGCTTAAGTGCAATATACTTAATTGCTAGTACTGTAACAGTATTTTAGTTGTTTAGTTGTATGACAGTGAACTAAGACTACTGGGACATTAGGGTTGGGAAGTAAATTACCTTGAACAGCTAATGTGGCCGATGAAGTCATGACTCCAAGAATATTTCTAGCCCGACAGGTGTACACACCTCCGTCTTGTGATGTCACATTCCGAATCGTCAGTCCACCACCTGATTGTGTAATTCGTTTGTTCAAAGGAAGACTGGAATTTTGTTTCATCCACGTGACCTGAGGTGTTGGATTTCCTTTAAACTCACACTGCAGTGACGCTATATTAGTTTCGTTTACCACCATGGATACCGGAGGTGACACAATAGAAGGAGCTGAGATGGATTCACCAGGATCGCCCTTAGGTACTGGAGGGCCCTCTTCGCCTTCAGGCCCAGGTGGCCCCTGATCTCCTTGTGAACCTTTGTTTCCGTTAGGTCCTTGGGGCCCGCTTGGTTCGGGTGGACCATACTTACCTGGGGGACCAGGCCTGCCAAGTCTTCCCCTTATACCTCTAGGACAATGCATCGTGCAGGCCAGGCTACTCAGGGCAAGCTGCACTTCCCTTTTGATGCCATCACGATCGTTGTGACCGACAGTTGCACTGGAGTTGTATTTTACATTTTTGTTTTTGCGTTTCTGGCGACTGTGAACTCCCCCAACTACAAGGAAAGAAAAGAAAAAAAAACAGTGATGTTTATACTTTGTTAATAATAAATAAGGAGGATAATAGCCATTTCTTTGCACGATGGCTACATTATACATTGTACTACTACGACCAGAATCCTTTTCGCTTTCCTTTTCATCATATTTGAACTTGGTAGTCCTAGTGAGGTCTACATAACAAAAGCCCTCATTTGCACAAGAAAGCAATACCCTCAAGGGCATAGTAGTAAAATTATGTTATCGTGCAAATGGCCTAATTATATATAATGCCACCCCCAAAACGCTCTACTTTGTTGCAGGTTTTTAAGAAATCATTTTCGCTTTTTACTGACGTAATTGATAAGGGGCACCCAATGACCAAATACGTCAGAATTCTCTCAAATAGTTTTCCCTACGCTTTAAAAGCCTGTTTGGTTATTTTGGAGCTGCCCTAAATACTATTTATCTGATCGCATGTCTTCAGTTAGGGGAACTTTGGTCGTCCGCGTTCCTTTGCCTGGGCCTACTATGTCTTTGATATCAAACTCTTTGAGGTTTCCTTTCCCAAGTCTTTTTTGTTGAGAATGTTGTTTACGTTGTTTATGCTGTTAAACGTATCATCATCCGGTCATCAGTATCTCATTGCGCCATGACAAGTTGGGAGTGTTTCTATTGCGTATTGACTTGATGGTAATATGACTATCTCGGATGTGACCTTATGTAACTGACAATCCTTTATCCTTTCAGACAAAGACAATTAAGTCTTTTCGATAGCACAACAGCTGAAACGGATACAAGATCAAAGATTCCCTTAAATTGCGCACTATGAAAAACCAAAATTTTTTCAGTATCAGGAAATAATGTTATATTTTTCAAACTGCTGCGGGTTGCTGAGTTGCTGCTGCTAGTTGTTGGATATTGATACCATACGTACACCATTCATTGAATGTCTTAAAGACATTGAGGAGCTATGTCTTCGAATTCGTTAGCAAGTTTTCAACAAATCACATTCGAACTTGGCACTTTTACTAATTTAGAGCGCTCTTTTCATTGGAGTCAATGGACGTTCCCTACCTTGTTCATATCAAAAGATAAACACAAAACGAGGTCAAATAGCTTCCTACGAAAAAATTTATGCAACGCATCCTCGACGCTATGTCTCAGTCAGTGAATAGTTTATAAAATATAAGAAATGACGCAACCTACCTTCAACAGAGTTTCTGTGAAAGGACGAGGTGATCGGCTCATTTTGAACAGTTTTGCGTGGTTCAATTTTGTCCGCTCTTTGTTGACTTAAGACTTTAAGCATTTGTCGATGAGCATGAAGTTCGACCTCGACGTGAACCAGTGCTACAAAGCAGACAACAAGGGAGAGAAATATTGAGGAAAACGCCAACGTTTTGGAGGCCGGGCGCATCTTTGACGACTCCATGACTCGGTAATTAGTTGCGAATGATTGCCTTAAAATAACTGGGAGATTTAAACCCTGCCAACGAGTAACCGAGCTCGTGTAACTGTTGCTGCTGGCCGAAAAATAGCTTTGACCTGTAAGACGTGACGTCTATTAAAGCCTGACTTTGTTTCCGCCTTTCAATTTAGCTTTTTCCCAGCCCTCTGAGGGAATTTTCCAGAAGCATCTAGTTTGAAATGCCAGTTATTTCGATCTACGCGGCCAGTTCTATTACGCAACCGCAACTGATGAAGCATGCAAAAATGGAACTCAGTTTGCTGAAGAGCGAGGAATTCTTCATTTTTCAACATCAGTAACTGTTTATTATTTAGCTGCATATTATATGTTTTAAAAACAAAAATTGCTAAGGTATCCAAAATTTTACAGACTCATACCAGGCCGTAACATTCAAGCTATCGTATAAATACCTCTTATTAGCCGAGTTTTCGGTCCGTACTGTAAATTACGGATCCTCAGCGTCAAAAAAGAAAGTTTTTATTGGCGCACGAAAACAATAGCACATAACAAAGGCTTTCCGAAAAAGTAAAAACAAATTCGCCATGTTGAAAAAGTTTACTCGGTCAAAACTAAGAGCACTGTAAGTTTTAGCTCTTTAATGTAACGCTGGAGTATTTTGGAAACCGGACACTGTGTCTGTCTGGAAGTCCTTTCCATCCTTCCTCCGTTTGTCCTTGTAAAAAAAAACACTGCAAAAGGCAAAGAAGCTTTTCAAGGTAAGTTTGTTGTCATTGTCGAAGGATTCGCTCGTTAATTGTTTTTGGGAAAACCTCTCTTTCTGCCAGTTCATTCTCGTCTTCAATTGTGATCTGAGTTACAATTTTCAAACACTGACTAGCATTCTCTTCCTCGGTAAGGTTACGATTCAGTTTCCACATCAGCTTCGTTCTCATTAAAACAAAGTTAGGTTAAAATTTGGAAAGGCAAAGTCAACATCCCAGTCCTCAGGGTTTACAGTCAAAACTAAGAGCACTGTAAGTATTCACTCGTTAATGTGACGCTGGAGTCTTTTGAAAACTGGACATTGTGTCTGGCTCGAACTCACTTCTATCTTTCTTTCGTTGGTCATTGGAAAAACACTGCAAATGGCAAAGAAGCTTGTCAAGATGATCGGGTGCAGGTATGTTTGTTAACATATTTGTCGAAGGAATTACTCATTTTCTCTTAGGCAAAACATCTCGAATCTCTGCCAGTGGATTTTCGTCTTCTCAACTGTGTACTGCGATAAAATTTTCAAACTGACTAGAATCCTCTTCGATAAAATTACGAGTTAGTTTCTTCATCGCCTTCGTTCACAAATAAACACAATTTAAAATGTTGAAGGAACAAGTCAAAATCTAAGTCCTCAAGGTTGATAGACGTCTTGTAACTTAATTTCAACCTTTTTTTCCGAGGTAAAGAGCTCCGAAATGAGCATTTTCTTTGAAATTTTGGTCCGTATAGCAAGTTACGGACCGCAAATTGACCAACTGCATGGCGAAAACAGACTCAGCCATATAATAATGTATGTTATCCTGGGTAAGTGAAGAGTCTCTGACCAACAACTCGCACTCGGGCTGTTCTTTGCGCATACTGACGCATTATCTACGATCCACAACTAACCAAAAAATGAAACTCCTTGTTAGAAAGGAAAGTTTTCTTAGCAACAGTTAGCTGCATACGATTCAACCGCATAAACCTATCACTTGTCTGAAAAACAAAAATTGCTCTTGTGCCCAAAAATATTTACAGATATCTCATGCCTGCCTGTAACACTTCAGCTTTCTTAATGTATGATATCCCTCCTCATTATTTGAGCCATCAACGTCAACCAGTCTGATCTGAGTCACAGTAGGAGCGGACTTGTCCGTCAGTAGACCGCTGTCGTCTCTCCAACCACTGCCACCGTTGTAACAATTACACTTTTTTCCATTTAACCAAGAGTCTGTTACTCCGCATGCGCACGTGTTGGCTGATCCACCAGTGCCTACCCAGTAATTCATTTTCCTTCCATCACGTGACACCCACCACGCCAGCGAGTCCAGTACGAAGGCAACTTCTTTGCACTCAAACTTGATAAATCTTTCACAGTTTTGAGACACTCGAGTGAGTGCTGCTAGCTGAGGGGTGCTGGCTTTAGTGTAAGTTACATATTTACTGTAACACCCGGGAGTAAAACCACATCCAGGAATATTAGCAACATGGGTTCTACTTTCTCTATTGTGACTGATGACTGTCACGCCAACTCCACCCTTATCACTCATATCACAATACACACTGAACGGAACCAGGCCTCCTTTGCCATCAGGGTCAATAATATAATTACCTGAAGAACTTCCACTGCAGCCTGATTTTATACTGCTGCAGGACAAAGGTTTGTTGTACACTTCAAGAGTTTTTTTGCTATACATGAGTAAGATCCAGCATCATCTGTGGTCACCTTCTTGAGAAACAATGTTCCTTTTGGGAAAATTACGGGGTTTGGAGAAAAATTTTTGCTGTTTCTTTTCCAAGTAATTTCTGTGGATCCCTGCGCTTTGCAATTAAGCATCAAGCTACCTAAATCAGGTATTACGACCTTAATTGGAGGTGACAGGGTAAATTAGAGCCTGTCCAAAGAAATCCCGTGAAGAAATTTTCAAAACAAAAAAGAAATCCCTTTATCATCTCGGTAACTTCAACTCTCCCCTCCCCCTCCAACCCCCGCCTTCGGACGGGCCTAGGGTCAAACGTTATTGTTTGCGCTCTTCTGATCAGAGTCGCTGATCAGTGTCGTTCAAGTAATAAATAATCAAGCACACAGTGCGTGCGCATAGGAGAGAGCAACCGATCAGTTGAGCGCCACTTTACAGTCAATTCTGCAGCATGCCATCTGACTGGCATCCGCCAAGAGACTGATGAGACTACAGTGCTCCCCAGGGATATGGGTGTGTGCAATTGTCAAGCTGCAACTGTCCAGGTGCACGTAGGTTAGCCTCAATGTCAAAGACGGCCATTATGTACTTGCGCATCGAAGAGCTTATCATGGTTTGGAACTTGCGTAGGTGCCTGCTCTTGCTCTTCTCCGAACTGGTTATAGAAGAACCGCGCCCCTAGTCCTTCTTCGCCAGATTCTTTCCTTGCTTTGACACGCGCATAAACGTTCCAGAGTAGGGCCAATCATAGCCTGTCACCAGTTTTTTTTCCTTTTGGGGGGCGGGGGGGGGGGAAGAGAAAAGGAGGGGAGGCCTTCTCTCCCCTTCGCGTGTTTCCCTCGCGCGGCTTGTGATTAGACAATTACGGGCTCATGCTACGCAGACTAAGCCAATCAGCGCCTGCTTTATGATTGCTGATTGCTTGAGTTGAAATACAATAATGATAATACTAATAATAATAATAATAGTAATAGTTATAGTCAGAAACGCATATAGAGTGTAATACATTTATAGCCAGCTTCCAAACCACGCTTTTGAACCCCATTCATTGCAGATAAATCTGCCGTGGACTATAGTAGGTATTTTTTAGCATACTTTTTACTTGCCTTGTGCCTACAATAGTGCAATTGGTGAACAGCTTAAAGTGAGATTTTAAAAGCACCTAGCCTGCCAGCGGTGTTGCACCGCCCGATACGCACCGGTACTCTGTGCTCGTGTATTTTTAAAACCAGTTCTCCAGATTCGTACGCTGTAAATATCGTCGCACGGTAGTGAGTAGATGGGTGCTAACTCGGACCGAGAGATTGGTGTCGCAAGCGAAAGATAAGAAGGTAGCAGGATTTTCTACCTGTAATTATAGGCTCTTTGCACGTGATAGGCCATATTAGCGTGTCGCAGAATTATTGCGAAATGCATTAGGTTGTTTCCTAACCTGACAGATCCATCAGGACGGGGGAAAAGTGTTGAACTAATGGCAAACAACAAACAAACAAACGAACAAACAACAAGAAAGAACACGTTATTACTTAGGCGGAGGGCGAAGTAAAGGATTCGCGACGCTCAGGAATGTAGCAAAGTTGACTTTTTTTGGCAAGATTAGGCACGCAAAGTCTGTAGGTTTTCGATTTTATTCGGGTATTGACGAATTAGTTCGAGATATCTCGAGATCACTTCGATTCCTTTGATTTATTCTTTAACTTAATCGAGGAAGAAAGAATTATTATTTTGGCTTGCCCTGGGCTTGAAACGACTCACCTGTGCGACCCTTCAGATCAGAGGAGACTCTAAGTTGAGGGATTAGCCGATTGCGCCATTACGACCCAATGTGAGTTGCCGTGAAAAATAGCTATGAAACTATACACCAGTATCGGGACAAGATTGGGCGCACTAGTTCGTGACTTTTCGGCTTGTCGGCTATTTCACGAAATGAGACCCGAATTACTTCGAGATATCTTGAGATCACTTTGAGTTTAGTCTTTTGTTTACTCGAGTAATAAATGGAGGATATTACATGGCCGTGCAGAGACACGAAGAGTTCTCTTCGAGTGTTGAAAAACACTTCACGAGTGAGCTCTCCTTTCGAACTGTCTTATGATAAATTTAAAGTCACAAAATGCAGCACGAAGAAGTTTTGTCTTTGTTGAGTGTTACGTGGTAAAGTTGCTGTCATGTGTTCCATGACCTCTACGTTTTTGGATTATTTATGAATAATTAATTACGGCATGTCCACATTTGAGCATAAGTCAGCAGATTTGCATCACTCAGTAACTGAAATCATGAAATATGTTGAAAGGCTACCACTATTCGCCTGTTTAGTATTTTCTATAAACTTATGTGAAACGTTGTTCAAGTTCCAAGCGAGTTGTTTTAACGAACTAAGTTTTTCTCCCAAGAGCTGGAGTGCTGTGTTTAGTCAAGTGTGACGAAGGTCGATTTTCAAGTTCTGTGTTTACAAGTTGGCGGAGGCCGTAAGATTTTTGAAGTTCAAGTGAGAGTTTGCTATAATTGGTAGAGGCTGTTTAGTTTTACTTAAGTTCAAGTCAAGTTTGTGTCGGCGGATGCTGTGTTTTAAAGCCGTGCAAAGACTATGTTCCTTTGGGATTAAACTTCCTTGTGTTAATCCGACATCTTGGCCTGCGTGCTGGTAGTCAGTGAATAATTATCCTCAAAACATTCGAGCTCGTAACATTGAGTTTTAGCCAATTCCATGTTCAACGTAATTGACTCCTTATCCATTCTTTTACCCGAGAGTTTCAACCAAACCACTCCCAAATGATGCAAAAAGTCCACTACCTGTTGTCAGCCGTCGCTCAAAAACGCTGCTGCTTAAGCTCCCTAATAACTTAATATCACGGTAGACTTCGACCCCCGGGGGGTACTCTCCTATAAAAGGGACTGGGGTGCTCGTCGGAAAATTTCGACAACACCCCTAAAAGGTACCAGAATCTTGTTTTATGGGCGCGCGCCAAATTCATTTCCACCCCTAAGAGGTACCAATTCAACAACAACAAATTTTATAACTGGCACTGCGAATTTTAATAGTAGAAAACATAACTTTTGAACACTTTCTTCCCAAGAACTTTTTGAAAGTATTCTTGGTTTTCACATGACGTCACCAAAATTCAAACTAAGGAACCATCGCTTCTGCTGAGTTTCTACTATCATGTGATACTAGAGCACCTTAAAACCTTTATACAAACAAATTTTCGGTTCAAAAGGGTTCTTTGTTTTGCGATACAGGACGCTTGAATTTCCAGGCTTTTGCGTGACGCGGCATTTAGCTGGCGGCCGGGAAAGCTCTTATGTGGGTTAAAGACATTAAAGATTTTTAGAGATTTTGCTATCTAAACATTCCTTGTCTTAGAATAAATATTACTTACGAACATGGCGTGTCCATAAAAAGCCTTATAAATCTGGGTACAACGTTTTTCCGAATATCTCGCATATGAACTATTGCATAGACCTGATTCTTGGCAACGCTTTTTGTATATTTATCTTCTTTCATTTCCCGGATTCTAGACTTTCTGTATTAAAAGGTTTCCATTTTTATTTCTGCTTTCTCACGTGAGTGAAAACCGAGAATTGTCATAAATCTTACCGAGACAACTCTGGCGGCAGTCATTTTCGGTTTTAGCACCCTAAGCGGTACCAATCTACAAATTTAATCCGCTAAAAGGTACGACGAGCACCCCCGTCACTTTNCCCCCCCCCCCCCCCCCCCCCCCCCACCCCCGACAAATAACCCAGCCCCAATGGGAATGACTAAGGACATTAAATTAAGTCTTACATGAAGTACATACTATCAAAAATCGCAATCATCGTTTTTATGCCAGAAATAATAACAATCTTTGTCAGTGACTAAATACGTGCAAAAATGCCCCAGGAACCATACTGCGAATAAGAAAAATTCACGTTTTGAGCTAAAAATGGGCTAAATTTCAAACCTAGGCACAGAAAAGCTCAAAAGATGACTTTATCCGGGAGATATGGTGCCCCGTACGGGAGAGCAGGAGATCGGTGCCGTATCCGGGAGAGTTGACATGTATAATAATCGTCTTCTGACCGCAGTACATGAGTAATCAGTACATGAGACTGTTATGCTGTTTTTGAAGCCTGATGTAAAACTGTTTGTTTTGTTTGACTTGGTATACGTACTCATCGCCAGTAACCTCATATTTGACTTGGGTCTAAGCGTTTAGACCCAAGTCAAATTTAGAAGGATTTAGAATATCTCAGAGAATATCTCAGAGACAATTAAATTTTGCCCCGAAATGCTAGTTTCTGGCAAGTAGGCCTCTTGGATATTGCTCTTTTCAGAATATCCTGACAAATCCCATTATTTCACAAATTGAAACCTTATCATATATCTTTTTTGACTATTCCTCCACAATTACAATTAATTCCACAACCACGACGCCGAAGTGTACGCTCCAGAGCGTCTTGTTTACATCTCGCGGTTTGACACGCTTGGGGATCACAAGCCTGAGATCGGTAAAACTGAATGGTAAGAAAAAAATTGAGATTGTCTGCTCATTCAATGGCATACCTATAACATATAGGTTAGAGATGGATTTTCTTTTACACAAATCAGAAATAATCGCTGTGTGTCATGTTTACGTAACGCAATCAGGTCTAAAACGGCTCTTTCACGAGACACGTGACATGTCGAGCGCGAGAGGGAATTTCGTAGTACAGTTTTCATGTCTCAGTTTCTTTGCGGAAATGAAGTCAAACAAGGACACAAGGTACAAACAAACAAATTGTAGACCTCAGTATATACTAGAAAGGATAGGTATTTGGTGTAGATTTTGAAAACTTGTGTAGTTTCGTGATAAGAACTTGACCCACATGTTTACATTAGCGAAGCGAGTTCAAATACTGCACCTGACGGCAAGAATAATATTTCTTTTACGGCTGACAAAATGGCATGAAACTTTCCACCTAATGTATATGAAGCATCTATGTATTACTGTGGGACTTGAGATTGCCTAAATTAAACGTATTTTGGCTGAAACATTTGTTGGAGGATTGATTTGTGTCGCACCGAACCTCTTAACTCCCAAGGCAGAAAGGTCAAATTACACTCACGTGCTCCGTGAATTTTGCGTCCCCAAAAATTCATTTCAGTTGTTGCCCAGAGTTTTGAAAGCATATTTTGAAAGCTTAGAGATTGCTTTTTAATGTAGAATGTCTTTTTCTGTTTGAAATCATGTATCGGATGTGATTTTATACAGTGGCCCACAAAGGCAATACATACACAAATGGGGGGGGGGGTACTTTAGGAATTTCTGGGTGGGGATGTGCTGCTGGGACCCTGGAATCCTTAATATAACCTATACCAGAGCTAGTTCAGCTGAATTTTGGTACCCTATACTAGAGTAAACTCCCCAAATCCGCCCTATCCTAGAGTAGCTGTTTTCCAGAAAACAGTAAACTGCTTGAAAACCATACCCTTCACAGCGACACATACCTATATTGCCCATATATGGCAGTACCTCCCGGGACACAAATTCATATTTTGTTACTGCAATCTTAGAACACAAACATATTCATCGGTTGTTCGAGTATATTTACCAGTACAATAAAATAAACACCAGTACAACAATATGTATCCCAATAGAGAAATGTTAATTTCAGTACCAAACTATTCACTCCACTATAGAAAGATATCTCCAATTCTTAGTACACAGATAATAGCTCCGGTACAAAAAAATTATCAATCTCTCAGTAAACAAACATAAACTCCAGAACAAACATATTCATAGGTTGTGGGACTACATTCTTCAGTACAATAAAATACATGTATACAACAGTACAACAATATATATCCCAGTAAAGAAATATAAATTTCAGTACAAAAATTAACGTTCTAGTACAGAAAATTTTTTAAAAAATTGGATAAAATCGGTAGGTAATTTATCTATGATTATTACTATGTACCTCAATATATGCTTATTATGGTTTACCTAAACAAACCTTATGTATTTCATTATTATAGTTTTTCTCAACTATACAGCACTAAACACCACCATACACATCTGTACAACGCCATTCAACCCCATACATCACCATCCAACACCATGCACCCCTACACCTCACCATATACCTCTCTACATCACCATACATCCTCGTACTATAACACCATGCACCCCAGTATACATCATCATACACCCATGTCAGCACCCATATATAATACCATGCACCCCTACACCTCCCCTACGCGGATGTATGGTGATGTATAAGGGTGTATGGTGAGGTATAGAGGTGCATGGTGTTAAACTCCCGCAAAAATTTTGTGCCACACTGTTAAAGGCTACACATAACTGTTCGTCCGGGCACGATAAGAAAACATATAATAACCTTACAGGAGCACAAAAATGGTCCTCATTGTACCCTTAAAGACAGAAATACTGACCCCAGAAATCGTAACAAGTAAAATGATGCTACTGAAGAGACCTATATCTTCGCAAAGGGGTGTGGTGAGAGGTTCGATGATGACGTGTTAGTTCATTAATTATTTAGTTAGTTTTTTTTTCCACGCACATTTTTGCTCCTGATTTAATGATCTATTTTTTCTAGCTGAATATAGATATACTATACATTTTATATTAAATTTGATTAGCAGATGTAGAGCCATTTTCACACCCTTAGGATCTCCTGCGGGAGTCGAATAGTAAGCGTTCTCCTTCGTCGAACGCAATGAACAAACCGAAACAATAAATTGATAGAAACAGAGCAAAAATAAGCTACAAGAATCTTTTTTCAAGTCACTGAGGGCAAAACACAGATTCAAACTGTGGACGTAAGAAGGGTATACTGAGAAGTTTGCTTTCTTTCTTTTTTAATCTCTGGTCGAATTAAAATGTATAACTAACAAGAATGCCAGAGACCTGTATCCAGCGTTCTAGATCACTAGGTCACTTGGTGTATGTAGAATTTTCAAGACAATATCGCAAATCTTTGTTACCGCCCCTTAAGAAATTAAACTTTACTTAGGGCTTAAGATTAAATAAAAAAAATGACGTTTTTGTTTTATGAATCGCAGCTGGGCTGAAAAATAGCCCCATAGCCCTTGTTCATGTACCAATACGCATTTCTTATTGTCATATTTGTAAATTTCAGTCCTCATATCCACGTTACATCAAGCATAGCCGTAAACTAAAGCAACAATTACTTTGTTGAGGTTTTCCTTGTAAAAAAGAAGTACAGAAGAGAAAACCTTAAAAAAGAAACGGGACGGTGCGCACCTACTCAGGTGGAATCGGGAGGGTTGGGATGGAACCTTTGTCGAGTCCTTGGCCTTTCAATGTTACCAAAATAAATGGCAGCTGACATTTATTTCTATTTAAGTTTTTTGGAAAAAGGGATAACTGAGAGATTTCAGATACTGCTGTATTGAAAACGACTTCAGTTCGGAATTCATTTCCATGAGATTATTCCTGGATCACTGACGAACTCGTATTCCGGTGAGTCGTTTCCCAATATGTCATCAGTAAGCCAAGATAAGCATGGAAAAATGGAAATGTTTGTTTTCACGACAATTTTTTTGCTTTGTTTAGCTGCATTAATTAACTTTTAATTAAAAAAAAAATATATATATATATATATATATTTATCTTAATTTTTTTAAAGGAATCTCATGCCTGGCCATAACACTTGAGTTTTCCTAGCGTATGATATCCTTCTTCAATTGAGTTATCAAAGTCTGCCAGTCTGATTTGTGACACAGGAAGAGCAGACTTGTCAAGCAGCAGACCGCTGTCTTCTTTCCAGCCCCTGTTTTGCTCGTGACAATTACACTTTTGACCATTGGAGCAAGAGTTTGTGACTCCGCATGCGCACATGTTGGGTGATCCACCAGCTCCTCCCCAGTAGTTCATTTTCCTTCCATCGCGTGACACCCACCAGGCAACTGACTCCTGTACAAAGGATACATCACTGCTACACTCAAACTTGATAAACTGTTCACAGTTTTGTGAGACTCGAGTGAGTGCTGCCAACTGAGCGGTGCTGACTCCAGTATAAGTCACATCTTTACTGTAACAACCAGGGTTATCCCAATTACATCCGGGAATGTTACCAACATAGGTTCTACTCTCGCTATCGTGACTGATGACTGTCACGCCAACTCCTCCCTTGTCACTCATATCACAATACACACTGAACGGCGCCACGCCTCCTTTGCCATCAGGGTCAATAATATAATTACCTGATGAACTTCCACTGCGACCTGATTTAATGCCGCTACAAGACGTTTCCTTTTGCACTTCAACAATAGACGATGCCTTAATTGTTCGTTGATAATTTTTAGCTACACATGTGTAAGTTCCGGCATCTTTTGTTGACACGTTCCTGAGAAATAAAGTTCCGTTTGGAAAGACAATGTGCTTTTGAGGAAGATTTTTGTTGGTTCTTTTCCAAGAATTCTCAGTGGATCCCTGAGCCTGGCAATTGAGCATCAGGTTACTTAGTTCAGAGGCTACGAACTTTATGGGAGGTGTCAGAGTAAATGTAAGCCTGTCAATCACAGCTACTAGGGCGACAGCAGCGTCTTCTCCAAGGAAATTTTTTGCTGCGCATGCGTATGTCCCACCATCTGCCTTTGTTACACTTTCTATGCTCATATTCCCATCGATCACTGTAGTCTTTCCTCTTGGCAAGTGACCAAATGCTCTTCGCCACGTCACCGTTGGCATCGGTTGACCAGAAGCTTTGCACACTAGGGTCACGTTTTCTCCTTCTTCAACGATAACAGAGGAGGGCTTTTGTGTGATCAAGGCAGCAACTGCAATTAAGAAACACGAAAGAACATATCACCCAATTACTTTGAGCACCCATGAGGAGTTTTCTGTAAGTTAACCTTGCAACATTAATTTCATATTTGTCAACAAAAATTACTCCGTGCAGTTTAACGAAACCAGCGTAAGGCTTTTTGTAAGGCCGTTGCCCCTCTGAAGTCTGAGGGTTCAGATTTTCAATAGCTGATCGAGTCGGTGTCAAAGTCTCAATCAAACGTACACAGTGTACTGATTTACGACTCCGATAATGACGATCTGTTGAAAATCAAATTGTCGAAGTGGCGACCAGACGCAGAAGAAGCAAGCCTATCACAAAACGTGGGGAGCAAATGATTTCTGTACTCTTCCGCTTCTATTTGCAACTCCCACAAACTGGTTTTTACCAGATTATAAGCGGTGAAGGGATAAGCCGGAGTCGGAAGAGACTAGAGACGTTCCGATTCTTCCGACGGCCTCCGACCCCGTCGAGCTTTTGACTCCCCTTGCGAATACAAGATATTTGATCTACACTAGGTCATAGGCGGCGCTTTCACGATTCCGATAACGACTCCAGGCCTTTCCATGTTGAATACAGTTAATTACTGTCATATGTCAAGTAAGGAGAATCTTGTCTAGTAATTTTCTTCTGCTTAACTGCAACACCAACTTCTTAAGATAATTTTATGTACAGCGGTGTCCTATTCAAAGATAATCGGAGCCATCACTGTGACAGAAGTTGTGTTTGTTATTCGAATTTTTAACGAGTGAAAGATAAATATTTGATTTCAAGAACCATTAAATACGCTTCTGGTTGGCAGAATAATATCAATGGGTGACGTCGGCGTGCCAGCATCGATCGATTTTATACAAGGAATTGAAATGTTGAAGCCAAACAGGTCAATTTGCATTGTTTCCATGATTAAATTTTTTCATATGACTATGGACAACCTCTGGGTTGATAGTTGAATGGGACACAAAAGGTTTAGGCATGTAAACATCCTAACCAGTGTATATCCAAGAGATCGATCGATGCACTTTTGCTAGAGCTGTATTAAACAGTATTTAGATGTTTAGATGTTGCGAATTAAGACTACTGGCACGTTGATATTGGGAAGTAAATTACCTTGAACAGTTAATGTGGCCGATGAGATCATGACTCCAAGAATGTTTCTCGCCCTACACGTGTACACCCCTCTGTCCTGTGACGTCACATCTCGAATCATCAGTCGACTACCTGATTTTACAATACGTTTTTCCAAAGAGATGCTGGAATTTTGTTTCAGCCATGTGACCTGGGGTGTTGGATTTCCTTTAACCTCACACTGCAACAAGGCTATATCAGTTTCGTTTACCACCATGGACATCGGAGGTGACACAATAGAAGGAGCAGAGACGGATTCACCAGGATCGCCCTTTGGTCCTTGAGGGCCCTGATCGCCTTTAGATCCAGGTGGTCCCTGATCTCCTTGAGCACCTCTGTTTCCTTTACGTCCCTGGGGTCCTTGAGGACCAGGTGGACCCTGCTTTCCCCGAGGACCAGTCTTTCCTCGTCTTCCCCTAATTCCTCTCGGGCAGTTAACCTTGCAGGCCAGGCTACTAATGGCCAGCTGAACTTCTCTTTTGATGTCGTCACGACTGACTATTACGTTCGTGTTTGATTTCTTGTTTTTACTTTTAAAGCTACGTTTGTAGCGACTGTGTGCTTCTGCAAATAATAGACACACTGGTCATCAAGATAAAGATACTTTGATAATAAAACCAGATTTTAGTCGATTACTCAGTCCGGGATGATTATCAAATTTGATAACCACCTTACGTCACAACATGGCGACCGCATCAGAAATCTGAGATTTTCGTACCCTGTTCGACGTTTTCGTTGTTTCGTCGTCATTACTCGCCGTATGTACCCATAATTCTATTGGAAATTGGCGAGAAGACATTGCTCTTCACGTGTGCCCAAGATGGCGAACAACAAGCCGTGATGGAAGTAAAATTTTGGCCCGAAAAGTTTCAGGGTCTTTGAATTCTCACGTTTGAATGAGGTAAGTTTTTCAAATTTGCCTTAAAGTTTAGGTTAGTATATGAGTTTTGCCACAGTCCAAGAAACTATAAAGCTGATCTTTAGTCTCTCTCCTTTCTGTGCAATTGTTGTTTATCCCAAATGCAAACTACAGAAAAAAAGTGCAAGGGGTGGCCTTGGTTTATGTGTTGTTAAGTCGCTTACCACCATTTTGTGTTTTCAACGTTGTCAATCGTTCTGTTTATTATTCGAACATTGTTGCCGTATTCACGATATCTTATCACTGTACTATATTTTCACCGAAAGGGAACCGTTTTTAACCCTGATAGTTCATTTCACTGAGGTAAACTATTGCCTGATGAGATTAAAATAAAACGAAACCGAACTAGTCCTTCGATAGTCCTTTGTCATTCTGCGTTTAAGGTTTGACTGGGGCATAATTATACTCAAATCTGTTATTCCTTGTATTGCATCGACCGTTTTCCATTTAGTAGTTTTAAAATGCTTCTCTTTTATAACTGTCTTTTATTAACCGGCTTGTCGTCCTCCTATACACGCTTTTAACAAGTCTGGGCGCCATCTTGAATTTCCAATGAATGACGTCATTCGCGGAAAGATTATACACATACATACATACATACATACATACATACATTTATTTGATAAGTAGGTTTGAAATAACCAACTGTACAGCAGATGTGTACCTGCTATTACTAAGTCTAGATAAGAGAACAAAGATTTACAATACAATTATTTAAGATAAAAAGACTAATCAAATAATTTAAAAATATGCAAATTCAGGGTTCTTGTTACAATTTACTGAGCATTCCTTTTTAAAACTGATGTCCCTAACATAGGTCTTGATCGATTTTAGCTTTCTTTTAAAAGAGTGAGGGTTTTCAAGCTGTTTGATAGTGTCAGGTAAAGAGTTCCAGGCAATTGCAGCTCTTTGTTTAAATGAACGACGACCCTGTTCGGTTCTTGGCCGAGATACAACAACGTTTAACAAATTCCTTAGACTATAACAAGAAGCGTTCTTAACAACTAAACTATTTATATCACATAAATCTAAATTATAAAAAGCTCTACAAGTTATATTTAGAATACGAGAGCAATAAAAATATTTTAATGGCATCCAACTTGCATTCATGAGTAGTTTCGTCTTCCATGTCTCTTGGTAGTTTGTGGATAATTCTTGCTGCTCTGAGGTGGATTAGTTCTAGATCTTTCATCAAATAATCTGAGCAAGAGCCCCACACAGCCATACCATAATACCCTTGGGATTACTGTTTTGTAATAAATTGTTTCTAGTGTGGATTTTGGTAAAAAGCTTATGCGTCTTAACATTTTAACTTTAGAGCTGTATGATGTAGAGACCGATTCTACATGGTTGGCCCAGGAGAGTCTTTCATCAATGGCTAAACCAAGACATACAGAGAAAGATCTGTACTCAATGGTTTTGTCTCCCCAAACTAAAGGCTTCAGAGGGCCAATAAAGGGTCTGGTATCCAGGAATACTGCATCGCATTTCCCTTCATGAATGATTAATCTATTCTTTTGGCACCAGGTTTGTAGTTGATCTAATATCACCTGGAGGGCTATAGCAACCGCATCAGTAGTATTACCGATTGTATAAATGGTAGTGTCGTCAGCATACATGTAAACTTCGCCACTTCTAATGCTGTCTGGAAGATCATGTAAATAAGTAATAAAAAGCCTAGGACCTAACAGGGAACCCTGAGGGACCCCAATTTTTACGGGTTTAGATTCCGAAGATGCGCCATCTACTTGTGTCAATTGGCTCCTATTTGCTAAATAATCCATCAACCATATCCACATATCTTCTGACACTCCCAATGCCTTAAGTTTCTCACCCAGAATGACATGATCTATACAGTCAAAGGCTTTGCTAAAGTCAATGAACAATACGCCTACTTTAAGCCCATTGTCCAAGGCTTCTTTCCACACTTCAGTAAGGTGCAACAAAAGGCCTTCCGTAGAATGACCCTTCCTAAATCCCCATTGTCTGTCAGACAAAAGACTGTGAGTGGTCAGATGATTATCAAAGATCTACAGATCACCCTTTCCAGAATTTTGCTAGGAACACTTAGGAGTGATATAGGTCTATAGTCATTAACATCTAGCCTGTTGCCCTTTTTGAAAACTGCAGTTACCTGGGATTTCTTCCAACTGGTAGGGAATTGACAATCTGCTCTGCTTTTCATACAAATTTCAAAGAGTCCGTGTACAATGGCCAAAATGGCTACCAAAGATGAAAGCTCTGTTGACGTTGATTTTGCAGTGTGTTCATATAAAAGGGACTGTTTTTACTTTATATCACGAGGAATATTTTCTTTATACAATGTCTTTATGGGTATGTTATCGTAACTTTAAAGCTTTCGTGCAAAGATATTCCTGGATCGATGATATCGAGGGCAAACGAGAGCTGATTTAAATGCCAAAAAAAAAAATGCGAATGGCTTTATCGTCGTGGCTTACGTCAACAGACACGAGCTTAACTTCTTCCCAGGTAATCTTTTTTAGCAATGGTTTTGATACTATTTTATTTTTTATGCGGGCCCGCTTTATTTAAAAAGCTGAAAACGTTTAATTATTGGCCCTCGTAGGAGACTTAGAACTAGATTATCTATCAGGTATAAATAAAAGCTAATTGAAAGGTTTTTTCATGTTGCTATTCTGATCCTTTCAAAGTGTACGATAATTCTATCTCGATAAAAAGTTTTTGCTTTTCATCATCGGTTTTTAATGTTATTATGTATAGGTTTTAGGTTAAGAAAGAAGTTGGATAAAAACGTTTATACTCCAGTCGACCCTTGCACAAAAGTCACAGTTTCACTCTGGGAAGGAGTAGCTTAGTAATGTCAGTAATCCAGAAAGCTATCAGCTCGACTCCTGGTTACAGATGTAGCCACTAAAGAGAGCTGGAGCAGGGATGCATCAATTCTTCCAAAGCACTTTACTTACATTTACACATTGTTGAACAAGCAACGAAAAAATAAAAAAACACCCTCGAAAAGGGATACAAATTTTTATTTGAAAATGACTGTCACGACGATTATTGTAGGCTTATATGGGCAATAAATTCATGTAGAGGGGAATGCTGTAAATCACTGAGGAAGAATGAAAGGCCTCACAATGTTAACAGTTGTGATAAATGCCCTTGTACAGCAGGAGGAAATGGTTACTGTAATCACATGTTTTTACAATGTGTTTTAATTGACTGAATTCCCAAGAACTGGAATGTGCACAACGCAAAACAGTAGCACAAACCAAGGGCCTAGGGTACGAACCCTAATTCATATAATGCGCTGATATAAGCCATATAATGTCATCAATCCTTATAACAGGGAGAAATGCTCAGGGAGAAATGAGGGCTTTAAGGTGTCCCTTGTATGCAGCCAGGCAACATACTGTCCAAAATAAAGAGAGGGCAAATTAGTTCTTTCATTCACTTAAGACAATTAAACAGTCCTGAAATAGTTTCAACTAAATTAACTGGACACAAGGTTCCACGGGTAGTGAGTTAAACATGTCTCTCTAATGGAGGCAAACTTCAGTGTTATGACCACTATTCCAGTTTGTCAAGACCTAGAGCTGTTGATGGCTCCTTTCCTGAATTCCCAGTTGACACTGACACACCAGCTTGAGTGGGATTGCACAGGCCCCTTTTTTGCAGGAGGACCAATTTATAAGTTGTTTAAAAATTGCTAATCCTTCCTTAATTGAGAATCAAAGCTCAGAGAAAAAATGCGTTGTAGTTTCAAAGTAAAAGGTTCAAGTAAACTAGCTGTAATTTGCACTTGTTTGCAAATGGAAACTCAACATCTCTCACTGCAAACAAGGTTTGTTCAGAATACTCTCGTGTCACAGAATGATGTTTCTAATAATATTGAATGACAAATTGGTCTTATCAGCAACTATATATGCTGAGTACATGAAAAAATATTGATTTAGCATGTGTATTTATATGTACATATACATTCATATTCAGGGCTTAGAGTGTGGTGTTGTCATATAAAGCACAATGTCATGGTTGGCTGCTTTACCAAACAGAAGGGTGATAGATAATAAATATGAAGTATGGTTTATTAGAAATCAAATGCCCTTTTACATTATGAAACTTGACACCTGAGAATTAAGGCATGTTCTGATCCAAGGTTTTATTGTTACATAGTTAATGGTAAGCCTGAGCTCATCAAAAGGGTCCACCTTTTTCAGGGTCAATTGGGTTGGGCAGGATTAAAGTGGTGCTGTCTTCAATATTCTTGAAGAAAAGACTGGTTAAATTTCACTTGATATTTAGCAGTTTTTTTCCTTCTACCCCTAGTGCTAAAATTTCAGATTCTAGTTCAGAAATTTCAGCGTCGGTTTCGTGTAAGCTGTGTCGCTCAGCATCATTTGGCTCAACACCTGCACACCTCACTCCTGTGGTGTTTACCATATTTGGTTTCCCTCGAATCAGATTCCTATTCAACTTCGTCTTATTTTGGATCTTAGAGATAAGGTATGGCTTGTGTAGAGAGCATTTAAACACCGATCGAGGGGAGGCTGCACGTTTTCAAAAGCTACCGACCACTATTAAAAGACAATACAATACAATACTTCTGAAGTCATCATCCCTTAAATGAAAAGAACAGACGATTGTATGTTTCTGCCACTAGCAAAAAAGCAATA